CGTGGCTAGTCCTTCAAGCAGCACGAAGAGGCAGGGTCAGAGATGGCTCAGGGGGCAAAGGCACTTGCCACCAAGCCTGAGGACCTGAGTCTGGTCTTTGGGGACCAACAGGGTCCATGGAAAGAAACAAATTCCACCAAGTTGCTTCTCTGACTTCCACATGTGTGACATGTTATGCACATAGTATGGTATGCACGGGAGCATACGCATGCACGTACACCAACACACACACTCGTTTTTTTTTAATGAGCTGGTCTCTAACTGCGGAGAAACGGTGGTCCCAGGCAAATAAAGAATGGCATAAAGACTGTCCGGCTAAAGAGGAAACGGTGCTAACAGGAACGGGAGAAAGACTTGGAAAATCCAACTGACTGAAGATTTACTAAGTGTAAGCAAGTTCTTTTACTTTTTAAAAAAGATTTGTTTTGGGCCGGACGTGTTGGCTAACGCCTTTAATCCCAGCACTCGGGAGGCAGAGGCAGGCGGATCTCTGTGAGTTCAAGGCCAGCCTGGTCTACATAGTGAGGTCCAGGACAGCTGGGGCTACAGGGAGACCCTGTCTCAAAAAGACCCCAAAAAAAAAAAAAAAAGATTTGTTTTTATTTTATGTTAATGAGTATTTTACTTGCATGAATATAAGGTGTACTACGTGCATGTTTGGTGCCCCCAGAGGTCAGAAGAGGGCATCAGATCCCCTGGAACTAGAGTTAGGGAAAGTTGTGAACTGTCATATAGACACTAAAACTCTTTCTTACCTGCAGTGCCATCTTCAACGTCCTTTAAAAATTTTTTTTTTACAAGTTTCATACAGATCGTGAGTCCCGAGTTACAGCAACAGCAGTGCTCACCTTACTGCTCACAGCCGTTACAGACAAGAGGCCCAGAACGGCTTTTCACAGTCTATGAAAGCTGTAGCGCACACTGTCTCTCACTGGCCTTAAGCTTACCAATCCGGCTGGGATGGCTTAAAGGAGGTGGACAGTGGTCCAGAAGGGGACACCTGAGCTTGACCTCCGAGCTCCACACACAGCTGCAAATAACATGTGCATCTACACACACACACACATACACACACACACACACACACACACACACACACACACACACACACACACACACGTTTTAAAAAGTACCTAAAAACAGAAGATGAGAAAAAAACAGGTATAAGTTAACTGTTAAGGGCCAGCAAGATGGCTCAGCTGATAGACTGTCAACAAGCCTAGCAACCTGAGTTCAATCCCCACAGTACAAGGAACTGACTTCCACAAGTTGTCTGACCTGTACATGCATTCCAGAGTGTGGGAGCACACACATATTGCTATACGTGATAAGTACACAATAAATAAGTTAAAAAGGTATTAAAGGTGAAAAATAATCCAGTTTTTACTTGGTTGTTAAACAACATAAAGTCAGATCAGAGCGTAACAAGCAAGTAATCTTGAAATGAGACGTGTCTGGGCCCACAGGAGATATTAACCTCACTGCAGCCTGTCCTGAAAAGATGCCGTCCTGCTCAACAATATTGCATTATACCACCCAACACAATATCCTATGTTCTGAGGGAAATCTGAATGGCATCCAAAGTGACCAAGAGTGACAGGAAGGACCAGCAATTAGGTTTGAATAGAGGGAAACTTACTCCATCCTATGTAAGATAGATGTGTGCAGCATCTACACATCACAAGGTCTTTTCTTACAGAATGAGAGCCAAGAGCACTGCTGAGAAGCGAGGCTTGCTAAAGGAGGGCTGGGACTGTGTCGGAACCCTGCACAGAGGCACTCCAGCAGATCCCTTGTGGTTCTCTGTGCCTGCAGCTGCTGCTCTGGAGAAGGCTGTGCCAAATGATAACAGCACTGGGTATCAACCATGCTTTGACATAAACACCACAGCATGGTACATCTGGGCTGACACAGAGCCCAGGTCACGCAGACGTACTAGGCCTGTGCAAAATGCAGTTGAAACAGAAAAAGGGACAAATAAAAAAGGAAACGACAGCCAACAAATTTATGAAGACAAGAAACAGAAAAATCTGAGAAATCTAATATTCAAATAAAAGCAGTTTTAGAACAACACACGCACCTTTGGGAGGGGAAGAGGTGCATGCCTAGGGCCTCAGGCAAGCACTGTATTCCCTACATTTTAAAAACTCACTATGGAACCTAGGTTAGACTCCAACTAGAAATGCTGAGTGTTGGGCTGACAGGTGTGCACTATCACACCCAGCTTAGAAGAACTACTATCATCTACTACCTTCATAGGCCAACACACACACACGCACACACCCATAAAGCAGTCTCTCCCAGAGTTTACCAAGTACAGCTCTCTTTAAGACCTGCACAGGCCATCCCAAGGACTGGTGAGACAATCCCTTCAATGTCTGTGAAATTCCACAGCTGCTGAGTATTGAAACGTCTAGTGGGAAGAACACAGAGAAAACAAACACGGGAGAAAGACACAGAATGGCACAGCCTCCTCTGCAACCTTAGAGGGGCAGTGCTCGGTGGACTTTTCAGGACGGCCTCACACCTTCTCAAGATACCCCTCACAGGGTGCTTCGCCCAAACAAGGGAAAACACAGGAAACCAGGGAATCAAGACCCCCAAGACGCCAAGGTAAAGACAGGAAGAGAAACAGCTGCTGTGGGAGCGGCCAAGAGCAAGCTGGCCAAAGAAGGGTTGATGGCAGGGCTTCTGAACGATGTATCCAAGAAGGGCCAAGAGGTTGCTGGATGTACCTGACTGCTCCGAAACTGTAAATAACCCAGAGATTTAAGAAATATTAACCAGAGTTTGCACACCTTTGATACTGAGCTCAGCTAAAAGCTGTGAGTTTTTTTGTCTTTTTTTGAGACAGGGTCTTCCTGTAGCCCCAGCTGTCCTCGAACTCATAAAGATCCGCCTGTCTCTGCCTCTGAGTGCTGGGACTAAAGGCGTGAGGCCACCCACACCCGGCCAGTAGGAAGGTTTTATTATGACCTTTTTTTTTTTTGTCTTTTTGAAGCAGGGTCTCCCTGTAGCCCCAGCTGTCCTGAAACTCACTATGGAGACCAGGCTGGCCTTGAACTCAGAGATCCGCCTGCCTCTGCCTCTGGGAGCTGGGATTAAAGGCGTGTACCACCACACCCGGCTTTAATGGTTTTTTAAAAAAATTTTATTATTTTTATTTTATGTGTATGCGTGTATTGCCTGCAAGCAGGTAAGTGCACCCATGCTGTGCAATCCCCGCGGAGGACAGAAGAGGCTGTCAGATCCCCTGGAACTGGAGTTATGACAGTTGTTAGCTGCCATGTGGGTGCTGGGAATCAAACCCAGGTCTTCTGTAAGAACAACCAGTGTTCTTAACCGCTGAGCCATCTCTCCAGCCCCTATTATGACTTTTTAAGCCCGAGGTCAAGATTGAAAATTTTCTGAACAACTCTGCTGAAGCACTGAACAGTGGACAGCTACGGAGATTCTCCTTGCTGGTGTCATGTGACGTGCTTCCTGCTGTGTTCAACCTACAATACACAAAGTGGCATGGGTGTGGGCACCTTACAATGCAACAGTCATTTCCGGAGCTATGTTTGGCTCACAAGAGAGTTAAGCTGCTCCACACACTTCCTGTGATGTCATAAATCACGAGAAGTGTATTCTCATACAAATCCACATTTTGTGTATTTTCCAAGCTCAAGTTATAATGAAATAGCCTTTTTAAGCCTGATATAAGGACAAAGGAAGTTTTCACTTTTTAAAATCCATCCTGTCGCTCAGGTGAAGAGCTGCCCGAAAATAATTTACAATGTAATGACATGCTTAAAAGTATCAAAGCGCATGCCCTTAATCCCAGCACTTAGGAGACAGAGGCAGCTGGATCTCTGTGAGTTCAAGGCCGGCCTGGTCTACATAGTGAGTTCAGGTCAGCTGAGACTATAGGGAGACCCTGTCTCAAAAAGAAAAAAAAAAGAGAAAGTATCAAAAGAATTTAACAGGATTCAATGCATGCCTTTGAAATAATGTATATGCTCAAGTGACATCATATCTGGATAACTAATGCAATGCAATAGTACCCGTCTGCATAAAAAAGGTATTTTCAGGGCTGGCAAGACGGTTCAGTGAAAATGTTTGCTACCAAGCCTGATAACCTGGGTTTGAGCCCCTGGACCCACATGAGAAGAGGAGAGCCAACTCTCCTTTCGGAATTCATCTGTTTTCCAAAAAGGAGTCACACAAGAGAATACAAAGATGCAGCTGGAGACGCTGCAAGAGGAAAGCAAGAACCTAGATGTGAGGGCAGAACAGCAAGCAGCTCACTGTAGAATTCAAGTGGCACTCCTAAGGTTAAGGACCTTCCTGAGGGGCTTCAGAGGGCAGATGTAAAGCCATACGCTGGATGCCAAGGATAAACCAGCTGGCATTAGCAGCAGAGGGCCACCATAGACAGCTATGCGGTCTTCTAAGGTAGAAAGCATGCTCCAGCTCCACAGCTGGTAGAAACGGAAGGGGAAACACGGTGGCAAAAGTGACCGGAGAGCAGAACCAAAAAGCCTTGGCAGAAATAAGAGGTCACAGGAAGGAGCCACGTGGCCTGCGCAGGAGCTGGTGCCAGCTCAGCAGGGTAGACGGGAACTCCTCATCTCACTCTTCAGGGAAACCAAATGAGACAGGACTGAGTGATACCCCAAAACCTTCCTATAAAGTGTCATTAGGCCAAAAGTCAAACATGAAAACTCAATCTCTGATGGTCAATCAAGTTTCAAGTAAAAAGTTCTAAAGTAACAGTAATTAGAACTGAAAAGCAGGCAGGTGGCTGGCTAGAAGCTGCTGGTCTAAACTAGCATGCCCTGTACAGAGGCGGGTGGTCTAAGGGCTGGCTCTCCTCACTCTTCCTGAAAAACCACAGGCTGTACTGACCTAGTTCAGAAACTGCCCAGCCCAGCTTCCCAGGCTCTCGCATCTTATGAGAGGTACTGCTCTCCCTGATGCACAACAACTCCAAGTCCTAGTGGTCCTAATAGTCTCACCTTTCAAACCAAGGTGAAAAATTAAAACAAATGTTTTCTTCTCTGTGGCTCCTTGCCCATTACAGGCTATCCTTGTGATGGCTGTCTTCCAATTTACCACATCAGCAGGTGAGCCGAGAGGAGGATACTGTATGAAACAGAAGTGTTCCTGTGAAAAAACAACAAAGAAGCAGATAAATCACATGTGCCATTTCATCTGACGATGGCTATGATTCAAACACTACTGGCTAGGATCTCAACTCCCACAGAAGTTCACCTCAGAGAATGTGAAAGTTCTAGTTAGTGGAATTTTTTCTATGTGAGCACAGGAAAAATGCCATCCATCATCCCATGCTAAACAATAACCCAGAGTTTAATGTAGCAGGTGCTATAACAGCATTATCAGTGGGTGAAGAAAACACTACTCCTATTTATGTAGGAAATGGACTCTTCTAACACAAAGGCTGACCACAAAAGCATTACATTTAAAATACTAAGCCATGGGGCTGGAGAGATGGCTCAGCGGTTAAGAGCACTGACTGCTCTTGCAGAGGACCCAGGTTCAATTCCCAGCACCCACATGGCGGCTACAAACCATCCTAACTCCAGTTCCAGGGGATTCCAAAGCCCTCTTCTGACCTCTGCGTCACTGCACGACACAGGTGCACTCACATACATGCAGGCAATATACTTGTACACATAAAATAAAAATAATAAATAAAATATTTTAAAATACTAAGCCAAATTTAAAAGTGCTTCCTGAGCCGCCCCTCCTATGAGGAACTCTGAGTGGAGCAGGCACTGGTGCCTGTACCACCCACATCCTCCAATGTCAACTAAACACACACTGCACACAAGAGGAATATGAATTACACATGCACAGCATGCTCCATAACACTGCAGAAAAGGGCTCAAATTGGGGATACTGAACTTACTAGAAACCCCCTAAGAATGCAGCCTACAGAAAGTGCTGTTCAGACCGGGCGTGGTGGTGCATGCCTTTGAACCCAGCTTTCCAGAGGCAGAGACAGGTGAAGGCAGATCTCTGAAATCCAGGGCAACCTGGCCTAGAAAGCAAGTTCTAGGTCAGCCAGTGATACAGTGAGATCCTGTCTCAAAAAACCAAGAACTAAAAAAAAGTGCTGCTCATCTAATACCTTTCTTCAGTAAAATTCACAGGGCACTGTCATCAGCTCTCCCTTCTCAGGGTAAATGGAAACAATGCTAAATGCAGCAAAACACAGAGGTGGAGAGCCGGCTCAGCAGTTAGGAGCACTTGCTGCTTTTGCAGAGGACCTCAGTTCGGTTCCCAGCACCTACATGGCGGCTCACAATTGCCTCTAATTCATGTTCTGGGGGATCTGACGCCCTCTTTTAACCATTTCAGACACTGTACACACACAGTGCACATAAACTCATGCATGATACACACTTGTACATAAAATTTTAAAAACCTTTTAAAACAAGGCCAGGCGTGGTGGCGCATGCCTTTAATCCCAGCAGAGGCAGGCAGATCTCTGCAAGTTCAAGGCCAGCCTGGTCTACACAGTGAGTTCCAGGACAACTGTCTCAAGAAGACCAAAAGAAAAAAACAAACTTTTAAAACAGAGTACACAGAGGGTTGGGGTGCAGCTCAGTGGTAAAGAATTTGCCTAGTATGTAGACAAGCCTATATTCCATAGCCAACGACCCACCCTCCCCCCAAAAAGAGAATACAGAAAAAGAGCAAAAAGAAATCTCAAAAGGCTTGCCTGCTGGATACCTTTATCACAACTACTGCAGACTGTGCTCCTCTGGTAGAGGAGCAACAAGAGAAGACGACACGGATCCCACGGACAGGACACCAGGAGGAATGATACAGAGCCTTCAGATCAGCATTAAGGAGGAGCAGGAAGACACTGTGCACTAAGCAGGGGGACAAGAGCTCTAGACTGAAGAAGGGAACAAGTTCTTCAAAAAGACATGGCTGACAGAATACCCAAACATGTAACTGGGTAGAGTCTGAAGTCAAACTGCTGACAAGTGCATTAAAAACAAACCAAAAAACCCCATTTCCATAGAATACGCTAAATTATTTATGAGGGAGAAGCATATAACAAACCACTTAACAACTATAGTCATAATGAAAATGCTAAATACTGACACAACCAAATTCATACAGAATCCACATTGAAGAACGGAGAGCCAGGTGTGGTGACCTAAAGCTTTAGACCCAGAACTTGGGAGGCAGAAGCAGTAAGCAGGATGGTTAGTTCAAGGCCAGCCTGGTCTACATAGTAAGTTCCAGGCAGCTGGAGCTACAGGAGACCCTGTCTCAAAGACCAAAAAACAAAAAACAAAAACAAACAAACATTTTTAAATAAATACCTAACGATGCTGGACGCTAAGAGACACTGGCTGCTTGAGGCCAGAAAGTCTGTCACAGCAGCTGCTTTCCAGCTGGGTGAGCAAAGACGAATCATCTAACCTGAACATTCATCTCTCCAACTGTGAGACAAAGATGGAGTCAATGAACTGTACACTTTCCTCCTGCTTCAGGATCTCATGCATCTAACCTGAGAATAAGCAAAACTAATTCTAAAATGGTACCAATGGTGACAGACATTGGGAAAATAAAACAGAAACTTTTTATAGGAGGCTGGGGGGAGAAGAGAAAAAAGTAAATCTGAAATGTACCTGTCATCCTCTTTATGTCAGTGGTGACTAAGGGAGTGGGGCTAACTGGGGACTGCTAGGACTATAAATCATCAGGCAGGGCAGGGCTGGGCTGGGCTGGGCTGGGCAGGGCAGGGCAGGGCAGGGCAGGGCAGGGCAGGGCAGGGCTGGGCTGGGCAGTAATAGTAAAACGCTAGCCAATAGCCAAGACTCTTTAGGAAATGAAGATAAAGGGTTTCAGACCCTGGCCTGGAAAGCACTTAACTGAAGGTATCCAAACTACCATGAGATCAATGACAAAAGCCAACAAAGCCCAAAAAAAGGTGGCTGCTTTTGAGTTAAAACACACAGGCAACAGTGGGATCATCAAGTGAGGAAAGGCTCCCCATGAAGAACAAAGTGAACAAGGGGCTCCCCAAGTATGTGATTTCTAGGAAACCACAGTTTTACATAACAACACACAAAATGAGAAAGGGTGCTGCTCTTAGGAGGCAAGACTATTCAAAATGGGGCAATGGACAGTTGTGAAAGCCAACGCAGGAGCAGTACTGATTATGTGATGGTTTAAAAATAGCCTGTGCAGTTGGGCTACTGATTAATGGATTTTTTTTTCTTACTAGAAAAATGATCCCGGAGTCCCTTCACTTAAAAAAAAATAAACAAGACAGGGAAAATTACTGTTTTTATTTATGAATATATTGTTAGCATTCCTTAAAGAAATTATGCTTTTTTCCAAGAGCCATAAAATCTACCAGTCATAAATCTTACCCTTTCTTCAACACAAATAACTATGATGAAGACTGCAAAATATGCAAATGTAATATAGTTATAAAAACGTCATTTAAGGAGTTGGAAACTGTAGCTCAGTGGTAGAGTGAGTGCAAGTTTAGCATCCTTACTTAGAGCCTTGGGTTCAATCATTTCTCTCTCTCTCTCTCTCTCTCTCTCTCTCTCTCTCTCTCTCTCTCAAAAAGACTTGTTTAGCCTAAAGCAGAATACATTCTCAACTGAACACCATCTAAAAGCATCTGCTTAATCACAAGTTGAAGGAATGGCAGGAGGAACATGCCCCTCCCTAGACCCTAATTGTTACTATTAGGGCCCTTAGCTCTAGTCAAAAGCAGTAAGAAAGGGGTTACCCTAATTGGCCTTTAAGTGGACAAAAAATTTGTTTAAGCCAAAATATTTACTTCAGAGAAAAGGCAGTAATTCCCTGTATTCTGTACTTGCATAAATTTGAATATAAATACCACAACATCCAACTGGTGCCAAGTCACAGGAGGAGACCATAGCTATTACATGACATCCAAGCAACCACCAGCTTTCTGCAAAATATTAGACATAACAAAAATGTGCACGTCATTACAGACAGGCAGAGGCCCTAGGCCTGGACACAGGAAACAAGACGCCACCTTGATGACTGTCGTGTAGCTCTCAATGATCCCATGTTGTAAGTGCCTCACAGACTTCAAAACACTCAGGTCTGGAGTCTGAAGAGAATGATGGTCCATGTACACGAAGACTTTTTCATCATTTCACCAACAATGTCTAGAATGCTGTGAATATTTGTCTATAAAACTGAGTCTGAACATCGATGGCCAATACCAGTGTAATGGCACACACATGTAAACCCAGCATCTAGTCTGAGGCAGGAGGCTCTCATGCCCAAGGCTAGCCTTGGCTGCACAGTAAGTTTGTGGTCAGTCTGGACTACACGGTGTCAAAAACCAAAACAATAACAAAATAATTATTTAGAAAAACCATGCCAACACCTATAACTGAAAGAAACCCAAAACTTCTCTATCTTCAGAAATGTCTTCCAACAAAAATTATACACATCTGTGACTCTGTTAGGTAATTTCAGAAACACCAATCACTTTTAATATAGTCCCCGCCAATACCTCCACTTCCAAACCAAGTGTAGACAGTAACCAAAAATTACCCTACCAAGATTGTAAAAAGACTATGGCGTAACATGCACTATCCAGGATCCCTCCTACCACCTCTGAAAGGCAGTATCATGTAGGTGATGAATTTAAAGTCAAGACTTCGGCCCCTGACTGGATTACATCACTGTCTGGCTATGCACCCTGACGGGCGCTCAATCATCTCAGACACATATGAAGCCTGCTCAATCTAAATCATTACTAAAAGGCAACTAAGTCTTAAATTAGTAAATTAGCACCCAAAGTAAAGGCCAGAAAACCACTTCTGCTCGTTATAACAATGGTGAGGATACAGAGTAAGGGGACAAATGACTACACCACCCCAATCACCTCGCTACACTTAGGCTCCACTGAGGTACGAACTCAAGCTGAAACTTCCTCAGTTTCACACAATTGCAAGAAAGCCACCAAACTTTTTATGTGGCTTATTACAACCAAGTCACTCAACTGTAGGCCCCTCGGGTGATGGGGAGAACAGGGAAGTCACAGTCAAAGGACTGTGACAGGACAAGACAAACAAGCCGTTCTCTCTGAGCCCACCTGGTCACACAGGCTACATGTAGTCCCA